CTGTGCTCTGGCCCAAGTCCAAGTCCAAGTCCAACCTTGGCATAGGAAAATCAATGGAGAGGTCCTAGAGCCGGAGCCAAGTAGCTACTCGGTCTGAGTTAGACTGTTAAGATGCAGACATCCTGGACTCTGTGAAGCTGCTTGGAAAAACTCCAGGACTTCTACATTTTTTATTTTAATTTATTTTTGTCTTTCTGAGACAGGGTCTCACTATGCAGTTCAGGCTGGCTTTGAACTCACTTTGTTGCCCAGGCTGGCCTCAAACTTGCAGTGATTCTCCTGCTTCAGCTTTCCAAGTCCTAGGATTACAGGCATGCTCTATCACGCCTGGCACCTCTACATTTATGCAGTAGAGACACCCACCATAAGAACAGATGCCTCATCTTTCATGCCAAGAAGATGTGCAGGTTCTGCCAATAATGTCCCTGGGCACAGAGACAGGTTGGGCCCACCCAGCTGCCTGTGTCTATCCTGTACACAGTCCCCATCCCCAGTGCCACTAAACCCATGGAGAGAAGGTGTCTCTGGGGTCACCCACAGGCTAGACAAGGAGACCCTACTAGAGCCCTGTCCTGGGACAGGCTGTGAAGAGTCCCAGCAGGGTGTAAATTCTCCCAAGATACTTGGATGGCCTGAGGAAATGAAGTCAGGTTTTTTTGTTTCTCAGTGGTGTTGAGGAAATATGACAATGTATAAACTGAGACTGCAAACACTTCATTTTCTGCTCATAAAAGTGATGAGTGGGAAACAGCTGAGAAGCCACTTCTTGGAAACCACCTCCATCTGGCTGGCATCTTGTTCTCTCAAAATAAACCCAAACGAATGACTCAAAAACAATTAGGGCATCTCTCAAGTGTGATATGGCTGACATTCTCAGAGCCCAGAAGTGTCTTCCCAAGAACAGAGACCTGATGCATGATGACCTGGGAGACAGCTGCACCAGCCCATAAAGAAACTTGAGTCTGCATCCAGGGAAAAGGCAGGAGGGCCTGGAGGTGGTAACCACCCACACCACCCTATATACCCCCTATACTTAAGGCCTGCTCCTAAAGGACAGAACCCGGTTAGCCCATCTGCCTCTCTACATTTTTCTTCCTGAGATCAACAGGAACTCACTCTAAAGGGTGCAAGAGAAAGAGGAGGGTACTAAAGTATTATCATAGCAAGGGCTACCACGCCAGGCAAAGCCTGGGAACCACTAGAGGTCAAGGGTAGATGAAAGCACCCTAGCCGGCCAAAGGCCTGGAGCCTGGACATACTGCTGGAACCCAGGGAATTTTTTTCCTCCAAATGATACCACATACCCAAGGCAGAAAGTAAACTCTGAACCAGAGCTACAGCAAGGGGCTACCCCTAACAGCAACATTCCTAAAGCTGAGTGCCAACGGGGTGTCTTTGTTCTAGGAAAATCAGGAGAAAGGTAGCATGGAGACCAGGACAGGTGGCCTAGCTGCCTCCCTGGGCAGCTCAACCTGCTCAGAGAGTCCCCTTCCCAAGCCCAAGGCTGCATTCTCTCACAGATCCTCCCTGATCCTACTCCAGCCAGTCCCCACAGCTTCCAAGGCCAAGTTCTACCTGTTGCCCAAATCGAAACCCATTTTCTGTCCAGTTGCCTACCTTTGCTCCTGCCCCAAATAATGACTGTTTCCTTCCCAACTTCCCACAACATCAGGGCCAATCTGAATGCCCTTCCCTGGCATCTGCACATCCAGCCACTCATTCCAGTTCTTCCATCTGGCCAGGCAACCCTTTGAATTCCATTAATTAGAGCCTGACCCAATCCAGACCTTTCAATGCCCCCTTTCCCAGTGCACATCAGTGAGGTAATTAAATTTAAAACATAGACATCAAACAGACCTTGGCGTTGTATGCTTATAAAAACTCAATGACAATAAGGATAGGAATTCCAACATCAATGTAAATAAGCATTGGGGGTAAAACGCAAGGTCAGGGAGCAAGTTGGGGCCAGCTACAGCAGTAGGGTCACCCCAGCTGCCCCTTACTAACCAACCAAAGCTAACTGTTGGCCCAGGTGAACCTGGAGATGTGTGTCCACTGAGGACAGTGAGCAGGAACTAGTGGAGTGGCAGAGAAGTGGGAAGGGTCTAAAAAAATCCTGGGGAAACCTGCTCAGGATGGTGCACCTAGTGAAGACTCCCTGAAAGCTTGCAGGTACCTTAGGTTGTTCAGGCTACTGTGGATACGGAATGTATGGCTTTGTTCCCACAGAACCTGGTGTCTGATGCACCCTCCTCCTGTAGGCCCTGCCCAGGAGAGACTTACAGAAACCTCTAGCCCATCCATACCCAGGTCCTGCTCTTGGGAATGAAGGATGTGGTAGCAGAATTACCTTATCCTCCAGCCCCAGCTATAAATGGCTACCAAGTCAGTGACATTTCAGTGCCAAGACAACTGCAGGTAGACAGCTGACTCACCAACAAGGTCAGGAGCATGGCTGATGTCTGTTGCCAGGGAGGCTGTCTCCACCACAATGTGGGCCACAGTGATGGGTTCTTCTGGGCCTGCTGCTGTTGGCACCACCTGCCAAATGGAGGATGGGGACAGAAAGGACATGTCCATGGGCTCCAGAATTCCCAGAGGAGGGCCTGGGCTCCCTTGTCATAAAGTTGGGGAGGCGTAAACTGGGGAGCACAGACCTGGTTCCTGTCCTGCAGCACAACTGGGTTAGAAACTCCCATCTTGCCCCACAAGACTACAGCTCTGAACCTGACTCCTGCCTCCCTCCTCCAACCCATAGCTGGGGACTAGCCAAATCACCATCTCTCATTTTGGCCTGGACATGGCTCACTGGCACCCAGTCAGACACTGGTACCTATGAAGCTGGGCTGTGGAGCCCATGTAGATGCTGTTGTGCAGCATCTACACTACAACTCTAGTCAGGTGGTCAGAGTGAGATACCCCAGTTTCAACGTCATCTAGACCACTGGTGGCCTGAGGCCACTGACTTCTCCCTGAGGTGCCTTTCTTGGTTCTGGACAATGAGGATGGAATGAGCTCCCACCCAGGAGGGGTACTGTGAAACTTAGTAAGGCTGTGTGATTAGCTCCAAGCCTATCACAGGGACTCAACAAAAAGAACCATTTTATGACAAGGTGCTGCTTCATTTGTGGGATCTTCAGGACTCATATGCAAGACAGGAGACAAGAAAACAAACAACAGATAACACCTTGAGCTAAAAGTCTAAGGAAAGCAGGACCCAGTCCCTCAACTGTGCAGGATGTGAGAAGGCTGGGCCACCCAAGCCATCCAGGAAGCTCCAGTGCACCACCAGGATTAGTAGCACAGGTAGAACCTTCCGTCACCTAAGTCACTGGGAACCAGCTACATAGGTAGGTCTATCCTAGAATTCTTCCTCCTCTTCCTATCAGGTGAGCACAGGAAGGGGTGGGGATAGGGGCAGTAGGGTAGGGGCTCACCTCCTGGCCCAGGAGTGTGGTGGTAGCAGTGGGGACATGCAGGGCTTCCTGAGGGGCCCGCTGGCAGGCCTTCTGAATCTTGTGGTGAACAAAGTCTTCCAAGGCAGTAAATTCCATCTGGCAACGGCCACATCTGTGTATGTCATCCTCATCTGCAATGAGCCTGCTGTCAGAGGCTCCTGGCTAGGGAAGCAAGGCCGATCCATTCCCAAACCAGACTTGCCCAAGGATGGCATCAGAAGGAGAGCTCTTGCACCAGCCCTTCCAGAGACTGATGAGAACATGCTTGGGAGTCCAAAGCTAGGGAACGCCAGGTACAGCCTCCAGCCTCTGGAGGTCTTCAGAAATGAGACCCACCCAGGATAGCACTTACCACACACTCAGGCTCCAAAACCCACTGAGGCCATCATGCCCAAAGCTCCTATTCTAGTAATAAGAGAAAAGCCCAGAAGCAGCTGGGAAGCAAAGGGGAACTGTACAGGACTGAGTTTTACTTTTTATACACATGTTTTTGTTTTGTTGGAGGTTTTTTTGGGAGGTGGTTTTTGCTTTTGCTTTTGAGACAGGATCTCACTATGTAGTTCCGGCTAGGCTTGAACTCACTATGTAGCCCATACTGGCCTTGAACTCAGTTATCCTCCTGCCTCGCCACCCAAGTGCTGGGATTATGGGCATGGGCCACCATGTTGGGCTTATTTTTTGGTTTTGGTTTTTGGTATTTCGGTGGTTTTTTTGGGGTGTTTTTTTGTTGTTGTTGTTTTTTGTTTTTTTGCTACTTCAGGCTGCCTTAAGGGCAGGATTGTTTTGTTTTTGATGCAAGTTCTGGCTGTGCAGTTCAGACTCATAGTGATCCTCCTGTCTCAGTCTCCCAGCACTGGGATTACAGGCATGCACCACCACACCCAGTTTTGGTGGCCAGGACAAACTGCCCATGGTTATGGGACCAGCACAGCATGTGGTACAGGGATTGAACTCAGGACCTTGTGCTTGCCAGGCAGACACTTATACTACTGACCTATCTCCCCAGCACCACAGGGTTGTTTTCTGAGACAGGATCTCACTATGTGGTTTTTTTGGCCTTGAATTCAGTATGTACCCAAGGCTGGCCTCAAACTCTTCAGCAATTTTCTGTTTCAACCTCCCAAGTGCTGGGATTATAGGTGTATACTACTTTTAAGACTGTTAGGGGGCTGGGGATGTAGTTCAATGCTAGAGCACTTGTCTAACAAGTATCACCAAAAAACCCAAAAAAATTAAAAAAAAAAACAGACAAAAATAAGTAATTGTTGGCAATCAAAAGTGCCCTTGAAGGGCTTGTCAAATAGGTCAGTGGATTAAAGCATCTGCTTAGGCAGATGCAGCAGCTGGATTTGATCCCCAGTGTGTGGTGCCAGCCGCATCCCCAGAGTGCACTGAGACAGTAATTGAGACTGGGCAGCAATTGAGACTGGGCATGGTGGCAGCACAACTGTAATTCTAGTGCTTGGAAGGCTGAAAACAGGATAATTACTACAAATCCAATCTACATAGTGAGACCTGGTAGACCCTGTACTAAAATACAAAAAAAGGGGGCCAGGGAGATGGCTCAGTAGAAGAAGCGCTTCCCTGGCAAGCGCAAGAGCCTGAGTTCAATCCCTGATTCTGCCAAAATAAAAAAGCCCTTGAGAGCTGGGCTTAGAGAGCTGGGCTTATAGCTCAGTGGCACAAGCACCTGTCTGGCAAGTAAAAGGTCCTGAGATTGATTCCCAGTTTAAAAAAAAAAAAAAAAAATCACCCTTTTGGGCCAGAGGAGATAGCTCGGCCGTCTAAGCACCTGCCTGGCAAGTGCAAGGACCCAGATTCGATCCCTGGTACCACATGCCATGCCGGCCACGCACCAAGCCAGCCACAGAAACCGGGTACATCCCAGAGGGGCTCCACACCCAAGCCACTCCCCATCCCCAGGCCTGTCCTAGGACCCACAGGTAAGACTTCTTCGCTCTCTGAGTCCCTATGTAAGACAGGTGCCAGGGAAATGGCTCAGTAGAATAAGCGCTTCCCTGGCAAGCGCAAGGGCCTGAGTTCAATCCCCGGTTCTGCAAGAAAAAAAAAAGACATCCCTATGTAAAACAGGTACCTCTATAGGAATGTCATCAAATCTACCAGCACCCTGGGGAAATAGATGACTACTCCCAACCTAGAAAAACAACTTGAGGTTCAAATCAACCAGCTAAACCTGAGTGCCAACCCAGACACCCTGCTACCATAAAAGTCTGACTGTTCCTAGCATTTGCTATAGTCATTCATCAAGGTCAAACCCAGGTCTGGTACATGGGAGGAGCCCAGTCAAGGCTTTTTAAATTAGAGTAAATAAAGTGCCAGTGCCAGACAACAGCCTTGATCACCCACAGGCCACCTAACAGAGGGCAGTCCCCTCTGGTGGATGGCTGTCACAGACCAAGCATGAGGTTCTTGTCACCCTAACTCTCCCAATTCATGAAGTCTGATTTAGCACAACAGTGCCTAAGGCCAGTGAAGGAGCCTTAGCCCAGGAAGGACATACTACCACATTTCACAGAGACAAGGCAGACAGACCCAGCAGGGCACAACCTCCTCCAAAGGGACTCAAGTTGGTACTGCCTCTCTCCAAGCAGAAGGGGGGAAAATGTATATATGTGTGTATAGATAGATACACACACACACATACACACATACACATATATATGTGTGTGTGTATGTATACATACATATACATATGAATCTTGTGGGGACAAAAACCACTCTTACCACAATTAGAATTCAGAGAGATCTAAACTGTTCTGAAAAGCAGTGATGGGGACTTAAGAGCTTTCCGTGACACAAACACCCACGGCAACATGCATGTAACAGATTCACCACAGCTGGTTTAGTGTCTCAGTACTACTCTCAAACTTTTAAACACACAGTTATTTTTGCCATTCTCCCATGAATTACCAGACTTCAGAAACTGGAGTGGAGTAAAGGAGCTACATGGTTCTGGATCCAATCCAGTCCTTGCTACTTACTAAATGGGTGACCCAGCCACTTTCATACCCATGAACCTCAATGTTTCTCATCTCTAAAGTACTAATAAAAATAATAGCATCCACATCTCAGAATTGGTTTAACAATGGAAAAAGCTGCTGGATGTGGTGGTGTATACTTGTAATCCTAGCATTATGGGAGGCTGGAGCATCACAAACTCAAGCCCTGCCTGGGGTACTAAGTAAGACCCTGTCTCAAAAAAAAAAAAAAAAAAAAAAAAAAAGGTGGAGTCTCTGCTCTTGCTGTCTTGCTGTTTTCTGCTGCCATGAACTGCTGCTCTCTGCCATGTGCCACTCTGACTTGGAGCCAGCCGAACATGGATTGAAACCTCCACAAACTGCGTCCTAAAAAGGGCGGGGCGGGGGGTGGTTGCTAAAGATGTAGCCCAATGCTAAGGTCCTGAGTTCAAACTCCAGGGCCAAAAAAAGGACGGAAAAAGCTGGAGGGTGCGGGTGCAAGGCATATTTGGGAAGCTACCGCTACATTTTGTAGGGGAGGCAAATACACTCAAACGAGCCCATCCAGCTGAGAATCAGGCTCCGCCCCCCCGCAAGGACGCAGGGGCTGACAGGGGCCACAGGGCTGGTCAGTCCGGGGAGGGCTGGGCCGTCCGCATTTGCCTGGATCCAATCTGGGTCCTTGAGACTTCTGCGGGCACCTGCAAACGTGCAGAGGCCCAGTGGATGGTGGGCGCTGGCAGAGAACCCCGCAAGGGTCAGGAAGGCATGCGGAGCCCACCGGGAGCTTAGTCCAGCAGAGCCTGCACGCCCGAAGGTTCGACTCTCGGTATTCCACTAGCCCAGGCTGAGCTGCCCACCCTGGCCGTGTCAGCACAGTCTAGCCTCGTTACCTTCCTCGCCGAAGGGTGCTGGCAGGCTAAGGAAGCCGCCGGGGGCCGAAGCCGCTGCTGCGACCCCGCCCTCACCCACTTCACGACCGGCTTCGGCCCGGGCTTCTGCCGTATGAGCGGCCGTCACCCGCACTGCCATCGCTCCCTCCATGTCGCAACGCGCCGCAGGAAGATGGCGGATTTACGACCGTGTCGTCATAACAACGGGCCGCCGAGGGTGGTGTAAGGAAACGGCGAGAGGGGGCGGGGCAGGACGAAGTAGATTTGACAGGCAGGCCCCGAGGGGGTGTGGTCTGGAACCGAAGCGAGGGGCCGCTTGCTGAGGGCGGAGATCTGACAAGACGGCTGGAGGGGTGGGGCTACAATGAAGCAAATTAATAGGCAAAAAGTCGGAGCCAGGGGCGGCTCTTCTGGTTAGGCGTGGTCTCTGGGTTGAGGGGTTGCCCAGACTCCAGAAAACAGGGTTGGGACGGGGCTGTCAAAAAACTGATCTTTTGGCTTATCCACGCTTTTAAGTTTCAGGACTTGAAAGCCAGAAGGAAAAGTCCGGTGCGCCGAATGGAGCAGCCCGCCCGCCCGGCCTCCAGAGCACCTCCTGCTGGAGGTTCTCCTGCCAGAATCCGACACTGAGAAGGCTACGGAGGGCCGGGGAGATGGCTCAGTGGAATAAGCGCTTCCCTGGCAAGCGCAAGGCCCTGAGTTTAATCTCTGATTCCGGAAAAAAACAAAACAAAAACAAAAACAAAAACAAAAAAACGCTACCGACAACCTAGGTTCCCAGCTGAACTAGGGATGCGGTGCTCGCCCGTCCACCTCACCCCCTAGGGTGTAAGAGACTCTCTTCATGATTGCCCAGGTCACAGGAAACTACCAACCCCAGTAAGGGATGGCTCATGCACAACTTTGCAAAGTCTTTTATTCTTTTATATTTTAAAAAATTTGTGGGGGTCGGGGAGATAGCTCAGTAGAATAAGCGCTTGCCTGGCAAGTGCAACGGCCTGAGTCCAATCCCCGGTTCCGGAAAAAAAAAAAAATTGTGATAAATACAAAATTTACCATTAGTGACATTTAGTATACACACTGTGTTAAGTAAGCACCGTCACCGCTGTCTCTGGTTTCAAAACATTTTCATTATCCTTAAAGGAAATTTGTACCCATTAAGCAATCATTCGTTCTACCTTTGCCCCCCACCCTTCTTTGTTCCTGTAGATTTGCCCTATTTTGAATACATACAAATGGAATCACACGTTGTGCTTTCGTATCTGACTTCACTCTGCTTGTTTGCAGTTCATCCACTTTGCATTCCATGTCGGTGTTTCATTACTTTTTCTTTTTTTTCCCCTTTTTTTTTTGGCGGAACAGGGGATTGAACTCAGGCCCTTGCACTTGCCAGGGAAGCGCTTATTCCACTGAGCCATCTCCCCAGCCCCACTTTCTTTTTAGACAGGGTCTTGATACAAAGTTCTATGTAGTTCAGGCTGGCCTTGAGCTTACTATATAGTCATGGCTGGCCTCCAGCTTCCAACGATCCTCCTGCCTCAGCCTACCAATACTAGGATTACAGTTGTCTACCACGTGCCCAGTCATACTTTTTATAACTTAATGATATTCCATTGCATGGACAGGCTACATTTTACTTTTATGTATTTTTAGTACAGAGTCTACAGGGTCTCACTACATAGATCAGACTTGTAGTGATTCTCCTGTTTTCAACCACCCAAGTGCTGGGATTACAGGCGTGTGCCACCACACCCAGTCTCAATCACTGTCTCAGCACGCCCTGGGGGTAGGGCCGGCTGGACACACCCAGGATTGAACACTGGCCACTGTGCTCTGCCTAAGAGCTAAACTTGAGTCTACTGAGCTATCTGACCACCCCCCCCCCCCCCCCCGTTTATTTTTTGGTACCAGGGACTGAACTCAGGACCTTGGGCTTGCCAGGCAGGACACTTATACCACTGAGCTATCTCTCCAGCCCCATATTCATTTCTTACTTTTAAATTGTTTCCACTTTTTTACTATTTTTTAGAAATCTTTTATTTATTTGGTACACGGTGTCACTATGCAGCTCTTAGGGGCCAGTGTGGTATGTGGTATGGGGGATTGAACCTGGTTTCTTGTGCTTGCCAAGCAGGTGCTTAGATGGCCGAGCTGTCTCCCCAGCCAGTTTTTTACTATTTTGAGTAGAGCTATGCTAAGCATTCTTATACAAGTTTTTTGTTTATTTTGTTTTTAGGATAGGGTCTCACTATGCAGTTCAGGCTGATCTTGAGCTCACTATGTAACTCAAGTTGTCCTCAACCTTATTGTAAACCTTGTGCCTCAGCCTCAGTGGTTGGATTATAAGCCTGAGCTACCACATCCAGCAAATTTTTAAATAAGGTAATACTTAATTAGATATTTAAAAATAAAATGTTCACTTGGATTAAGGTATTTACACATACACACACAAAAAACATTTAGGCTGCTCCTCCCTTTTACTCTTGCTGTTTTTGCTGTTTTCTGCTGCCATGAATTGTTGCCCTCTGCCATGTGCCACTCTGCCTTGGAGCCAGCCCAGTATGGACTGAAATCTCCACAAACTTTGAGCTAAATAAACCATTCCTTCCTTAATTTTCGATGTCAAGTATTTTGTCTCAGCAATGAGAGAAAAGTGACCAAGACAGAATTGAAGGGAAAAAGAACTGCCTTCTACTTGTGATGCCACATACTCTCCTCTATGATGCTCCTCTGCCATGCTGTCCTGTTTAGGACCCAGCCCCTATGGACTGAGATCTCTACAAACTATGAACTAAATGAACTTTTCCTTCTTTAAAACAAAAAAATTATAAAGCGAGGAGTAGTGGTATACACCTGTAATCCCAGCATTTGGAAGACTCAAGCAACAGGATCACTGTGGGTTTGAGGCCAGCCTGAGCTCCATAGTGAGTTTAAGGCCAACCTGAATTACATACCAAGACCCTGTCTCAAAAACAAACAGTAAATAGAGCATTTACAATGTCAGTCATCCTTGTCTTGAAAAAGAAAATAACTGAGGTATAGAACTGACAGGATTTTAACCTAAGAGCCTAACCCAAGCTGGGAACCTATAGGGCACTCTCCTGAAGGTCTGTTATTCTCTGTGAGCCAGCCATATGCTAGACCTAAGAGATGCAGGTGGGAGAGAAAATGCCATACCACACTCAGTTTCTTTCTTTCTTTTTTTTTTTTAAGATTTATTTTATTTATTTGTGTGTGTGTGTGTGTGTGTGTGTGTGTGTGTGTGTGTATGGCCAACTCAGCCCACCAAGGTGCAAGGCTGGCTAGCATGTGGGGCTGGGGGATTGAACCGCGGTGCCTGTGCTTTGCTAAGCTTGTTCTAAGTAGGTGCTTTAGACCACTGAGCCATCTCACCAGCCCCACACTCAGTTTCTTAAGTGTTGAATTCAGACAAATGTGATTTGGTGCCCATAGGCTTACATGGCTGGAAGCATTCATTCCCAACCTTGGCTGAGCCTAGGAATGGTCAGGTTTTATTGTATTTTATTTCATTTGTGACCTGCTCAGCCCACCTTGAGGGCGGGGCTGGACAGCACATGGTGCCAGGGATTGAATCTCGGTCCCTGTGCTTCCCTAAGCAGACCCTTAGACCACTGAGCTATCTTGCCAACCCCATCAGGGTGTGTGTGTGTGTGTGTGTGTGTGTGTGTGTGTGTGTATAACAGTTATCTCTATGTACTCCCCTCTCAGAAGATAGCCTCCCTGAAGAAAGGCACACAAGCCAAGGTCCTTCAGTGAACACATGCATTTCACTGATTCTCATTACTTTTAACTCCTTTGGACAGGAACTTCACAATCTTCCTCCATTGGTTGCATGTACTTTATTTAACTAATCCCATATTGAAGAACATTTCAAATGCGTCCAAGTTTTTTTCACCACTTGAGTCCTTTTTTCAATAACTATGACAATCCTGCTATGTCAACTCTATTGAGTTAAGAACACCAACAAAGGGCTGGTGAGATGGCTCAGTGGTCTAAAGCACCTATTTAGAACAAGCTAAACTAAGCAAAGCACAGGGACCGCGGTTCAATCCCCCAGCACCACATGCCAGCCAGCCCC